TTGTAAATTCAAACCTTTACTTAGGATTCCATATCAGATCAGACATTTTGGACACTCCTGATGTAGCACAGTTATGCTTTTTGGTGGATCCTAGGACTGGACCAATAGCAGAGAATTGAACGACTACTCATTTTTCTTCTAACGTTGATCTAACAAAATCTATTGGTAGTCTTTGAAACACGTTGTCGTTTTCCTTTCTGCAGTTTATCAAACAAAACAGCTCAATAATACCAATATCCAGTCTTATTTAAAGGGGACTCTCTTAAAGTGGCAACAAACTCTAGTTTTACTGGTTATGAATATTTGTGATGCTTCAATTGCTTTTCATACACCATCTATTGAAGCTCTATTGAAGTGTTTTAAACCGGAAAAGATAGTAAAAGTAATTTCATCATAAAAAAAAGATGCAATTACATCACACTCATGTGTTCAAAGTTTATAAGCTATTTTTTTCAGTGATGCCAAAAGGCCAGCTAAACATCATACGAATTTGCATTCACATGAAGTAGAATGGTAAATTTGCAGCAATATATACTAGTTCGATACATGGTTTCTTAGATTTGGTTATTGAATGGAGCTAGCAGTAGGTGGCGCTGTTTCCCTTCTGTGAGACGTCTCATGCTTTCTAAGATTGTTGTCCCGGAGCTTTCTAATCTACTGTCTCCTTGTTTACACACACTCGCTTACTTACAGGGTTATTTACTAATGAGAGGATTCAAGGTGAATTTCAAATCTAAGACCAAAGTAGCTGAAATGGAAGTGTAGAAGCCTTAGAGAATATTTCCGATTTGGCTATTCTTGCCTTGAAAGTGACATTCACTTAGTGAATAACCCCGTTAGAGAAACAATGTTGCAATTTTTTATAATTTAGAATACTTCAATAAAGTTTGTAAATTGAAAAATAAAAAACACATCAAAACTACTGTCTACATACTGCAGTAGTTGGAATAGAATTGCCATTAACACTTATGACTTATCTAAGTCTTGCAACAGCTATAGTTCTAGAACAGGCTTCCCCAAACTCTGGCCCTCCAGATGTTGTTGAACTACAACTCCCATGATTCTATGAATAAAATAGATAGGCCGAGAATCATGGGAGTTATAGTTCAGCAACATCTGGAGGGCCGGAGTATGGGGAAGCCTGTTCTAGAACATCAATGAAAGCATAGTTTGATACCCATGGCATGCAGTTTGTTTCCATCCATTTTAACCAACCACCTGCCTGTGTCACCGGTAGCTTGTGTTTATTTTAACTTTTCCCTGATTACAAGATATGGACCAGCATTTTAATTACCTCCTGAATACACACGGCGGGTGTTTAAAATAGAATCTAACATTTTATGCAAAAATAGATGAACTTAGGAAATTCTCCGATTCAGCTTTTCTTTCAGTTTGACTATTGACAATTAACACTTCACAGAATATTCCTGTGTTTATGCATAATGCAAAATAGAGAGAGACAAAGGTGAGAAATCAAAAGGATGAGTTGAATGCTGGCTTGAACTGCCAGGGATCCGAAGATATTGCAGAGTTGCGACCTACACAACTAGGGCATCATTATAATAATAATAAATAAATAAATACATCTGAATTTAGTAAATATTCACACTGACTGTGTTTGGATTTTACTGAAATGCCAACTCAGTCAAAGATAGCATAATACAAACTAGGGACTACTTTGTTTTGATTTATTTTTCCTATTCTTGACAAAAAAGCGGCGCTACCACTGTCAAAGTGACAAAGGCACCATCAAAGACCTCACAGGGGAACTAAACTGCCTTAATTGGGAATATTCATTGTGAATCACTGCCATGGCTCGAAGGATTGCTGAGGATAGGATTCCAAACACTGAGTTGGAATAAGAGGTTGCACTCCCTCCACTATCCTTTATATCCTCGTGGGCCATGTGCGATATGCTCCTGTGTTTTACTTCTTTAAATGGAAATTAATTTTATTTTAGTGTTTTCATGTAAGGAGTCTATTAGTGCAGTCTGACTGTTTTTTGGTTTTTTTTAAGCATTTTGACAAAAAAAAAAACGGGAAAAAAAAACAGGTCCCCTTTATCTAACCCCTTCTGACTGCAACATCATCATGAAGAATGTATTTAGAACATTGGGCAGACTAGATGGGCCGAATGGTTCTTATCTGCCGTCACATTCTATGTTTCTATGTAATGTAATTTTTTTTAATATTGTTATGAATATTTGCTCGCACAGAATACAGCTACAGATAATGAGGAAATGGAATGTCTGGTTATGATGACAAAGGTAGATAGGGCAGGCTTTTGGTGCTTTGAATCACCTGCTTTTTGTCAAACACCTGAAAATGAATTTGACATATACTAGTAACACTGGCCCATATCCCTCTTGGACTATGAGCGACAATAAGCTGTGTGATTAGAGTGTCACTAAATGCTTTTAATATGCTTTAGCAGTCTATTTTGAATCCTTAAAGGAACACTATAGCCACCATACACACAACGGTCTACTGTAGTTGTTATGGTAGCAGGAGTGCCCTGGCGCCTTTCCACAGTAAGAAGCCATACCACTTTACTATTTAAATATTTACCCGGGTCCCACCTGTGGCCCACCACCTACTTCTAGTTGTCTCATTTAGGAGATTCCAGTTTAATCCACAAAGCTAAATAGCGCCATGCTAAGCCACACTTATTAGCTGAGAATGCTCAGTTGATGCTGACAGCTTGTACCATAACTACTACAGCAGGATGTAGTGGTTGTGGTGTTTGAAGTGTTTATTTAATTGTAGAGGCAACAGATTTGTAAAACAACTATTTCAGTTATTAGGAAAGTGTGAGAGCGACTAGGGTGATACTAACTGCTGTTGAGGAAATCCATAATAGACCCGCACTGTGTGACATCTTACTTCTCTGTGTCAGTGTATCAGCTCACCTTGGTCATTCACTGTCACAATATATCACTGCCATCCATTGACTGTCTTTTACTGGATCTCAGTAATTGACTAACTGGGTGGGGGAATTTATCAAAGTGTTCTGGAAAGTGGCAGTTAAATCCCATCAATTTTTTTTTAATTGAATTAATCAAAGTGATCTAAAAAGTGACAGTTTTCTTCATAGTAAATTCCTCATTTTTTTTGTTTTTTTTTTGCAGAAATATTCATAAACCTGTAGTTTCAGAGGAAAAATAGCACAAATTCAAAAATTACAGCTAGTGCTCAAAAAAGAAAAGATGAAAAAAGAAATCTGATTTATTTAATAAATTGCAACATGGATTTGTCAAATTTTCATCAAAAAGTGGACAGAAAAGTGTCGATGACACTTTGAAAAGTCTTCCCCACAGCCTGGATCTGACTGACATTCACTCACTGTCTCGTGGTATCTATATCTCACTGACATTCATTCATTGTCCCTAATTGGCAGTCTCGCACTGTCTCACTGTCTCTCCCTTTCTGTTTGTGAATCTCTCCCTGCCTCACTCTCAGTCTCTCTCTCTGCATCACTTGTATGTGATATCTCTCTTTCCCTTTCTTACTCCTCTCAGACAACTTCTTTACTTGTTTCTCAGTGTTCCTCTCTCTCTCTCTCTCTCTCTCTCTCTCTTTCCCTGTAAATTTCTCTTTAATGTATGTGCCAGTTCTGCTTGCCTCCTGTCTGTGTGTGTCCCATAGTGTGCCAACCTCTCTTTCTCAACTCTCATTTAACATCCGCCTGTCTCATTGCTTGTCCCTCTCTGTATCAATATAATACCTGTGCCAGACTGTCTCAAATAGCCACACTCATTGCTGTCCCCATTATTACTAAATAAATTAGTTGTGACACCCACTGTGTTATTCTCTATCTCTCTCTGTGAGTCTGTCTGTCTAAATCTATCACTGTGTCTCTCACTCTGTCAGTTTCACTCACTGTATCTCCCTTTTTTTGTCAGTCTATCTATATCTATCATTGTGTCAGTCTCACACAATGTACCTCTCTCTTTCTTTTTGTGAGTCTGTGTGTCAAGTCTCTGTCACACTCTCTCACTGTGACTTGACAAAAGCTCAGGGGAGCCGAAACATTGTTTTATTTTATTTTGCACGCCAAATAAAGACTGCCTAACAAAGAAGCCTCCAGACCACCTTATCATTACACTCTCACTGTGCCAGTCTTTCTCCTGTCATTCCCTCTAATTTTCTGTCAGTCTCTCTTTCTGCCAGTCTTTATTTGTCTCACTCTCTCTCATTGTGTCAGTCTCTCTCTCATGGTGCCAGTCCTTTCTCTCATTCTCTCTCTCTCTGTTAGCAGTCTCTCTTACTACAACAGTCTTTCACTCATTGTAACACCACCCCTCACTGGAACAGTCTCCTCTCTCACTGGAACAGTCTCTCACATTGTGTCAGTATCTCTCTCATGGTGCCAGTCTGTCTTTCTCACTGGAACAGTCTCTCTCTCTCACACAAGTTTCTCACAGTCTATCTCTGTTAGCAGTCTCTTTTACTGTAACAGCATGTCACTTAATGTCACTTAAACAGTTTATCTCACAGTCTCTCTCTCTCTCTGTCTCTCTCACTGTAACAGTCTCCCTCACACAATCTCTCTGTCTCACACTGTAACATTGTCTCTCACACAGTCTCTCTATCTCATACTGTAACAGTCTCTCACACAGTCTATCTCTCACTGTAACCGTTTCTCACTCTTTCATTCTCTCTCACTGTAACAGTCTCTCTCACACAGTCTCCCTATCTCTCACTGTAACAGTCTCACACTCTTTCTCTCTCTCTCACTGTAACAGTTTCTCTCACACAATCTCACTATCTCTCACTGTAACAGTATCTCCCTCTTTCTCTCCCTCTCACTGTAACAGTTTCTCTCACACAGTCTCTCTATCTCTCACTGTAACAGTCTCTTTCTCTCTCTCTCAACGTAACAATCTCTCCTTCACTGTAACAGTCTCTCTCACAGTCTCCCTATCTCTCACTGTAACAGTCTCTCACTCTTTCTCTCTCACTGTAACAGTTTCTCTCACACAGTCTCACTATCTCTCACTGCAACAGTATCTCCCTCTTTCTCTCCCTCTCACTGTAACAGTTTCTCTCACACAGTCTCTCTATCTCTCACTGTAACAGTCTCTTTCTCTCTCTCTCAATGTAACAATCTCTCCTTCACTGTAACCGTCTCTCTCACACAGTCTCCCTATCTCTTACTGTAACAGTCTCTCACTCTTTCTCTCTCACTGTAACAGTTTCTCTCACACAGTCTCCCTATCTCTCACTGTAACAGTCTCTCACTCTTTCTCTCTCACTGTAACAGTTTCTCTCACACAGTCTCACTATCTCTCACTGTAACAGTCTCTTTCTCTCTCTCTCTCAATGTAACAATCTCTCTCACACTGTAACAGTCTCTCTCTCTATCTCTCTCTCTCTCTCTCTCATGAATGAGCTGACGTGCAGTGAGAGCCGCCCAGTCCTTTATAAAGTGTTCTGAGTGCTGCAGGTGTCCTCACTCCACACTCAGTCACAGCCATGAGTGGAGGCAGCGCTGCTCAACCTCAGCTTTACCTACCCCACCATGCACCCACCTCACCCTGAACCCCACCACCAGCATGTGGGACCCCAACATGTCCAACGTGGTGAAGGAAAGGGGCAGGGGGAACCTGACCGGGGGAGAGGAGCGTGGCTCTGTGTCCGTGGCTTACCCCCTGTCCATGATGATCACCGGCCTGCTGGGCAATGCCCTGGCCATGCTCCTCATCTACACCTCCTATGGCAAGAAGGGCAGTAAAAGGAAACACTCCTTCCTCCTGTGCATCGGATCCCTGGCCCTCACTGACTTCGTCGGACAGCTTCTCACCAGCCCCATCGTGATCTCTGTCTACCTGTCCAACAGGCAGTGGGCCAGGGTGGACCCCTCTGGACACCTGTGTGCCTTCTTTGGGCTCGCAATGACCATGTTTGGACTGTGCCCCCTCTTCATTGCCAGTGCCATGGCCATTGAGAGGACCCTGGCCATCCAGAGCCCCCACTGGTACTCCAACAACATGAAGACTCGAGTCACCAGGCTGGTGTTACTTTGTATCTGGGGTGGGGGGTTTCTCTTTGCCTTGTTGCCCATACTTGGGATGGGACAGTATACTCTGCAGTGGCCTGGGACCTGGTGCTTCATCAGCACGAACCATTCCTCTCCTGGAAATGTATTCTTTGCCTCCTCGTTTGCTTCATTGGGGCTCCTGTCCTTAAGTGTCACTTTCACCTGTAATTTGGCCACTATAAGGGCTCTGGTGATCAGGTGCAAGAATCGCAACGTTGCCTCTAAGACCAGCAAGCAGTGGGGGAGGATAACCACAGAGACCCTCATTCAACTCCTGGGAATAATGTGTGTTCTGTTTACCTGCTGGTCTCCTCTGCTGGTAGGCGGATTTCACTCCTTTAATGTGCTGACTGACCTCTTTTTTTCCATCTAGTGGAGGGTATCTGTTGATGGACATGTGTGGGTAAAAGTAGAGTACAAAGTGGGAGTTTGGACCTTTAGCTTCTGCAGAACCTCTTGACAAACACAATTAACCAGCTTCCCTTATCGTTGCATAATGTATTGCTGGAGACCGTTTCATTAAGTAAATCACTGACTGGTCATTCTGATATCAAAGAGGTTCTACAGTAGCTGTCAGATGCATCATTTACATACTTTTCATTGTAACACTGTTGCATGATTGTATGTAAGACACACTTCAAAAGTATTTTACTAGAATATTTGTATATATTTTACATATGGTTTTCAAATAATTTGATACATTTCAAAATCAAAATCCCTGTATCAATTAATAGATCTAATATAGTCAAACAAATTATGAATCTTTAACTCAGAGATAGTTAATAGCTAAAAAGATTCTTCTAATTACTATCAGTGCAAATAGTGTCTGATTACTTATATCATCAGTTTGGAATACAACTTTTTTTTTTTTTTAGCAATGAAAAAATAAACTTACAGGAATCAGGAAATATATAAACATTAGGATGAACAAATTCATTTTATGATTCGTATATTATTATAACATAATGAATATTGCAATATATGTATAATTTAAATTATTCTGCCTGTAATTTAAAAGAATGGTTCCTTGAGTTTTTGAAAACTTGAGGGGTGAGCTGTAGAAGTTTCTATTGGTTGATAACTGATCACAATATTGCAGTGAGAGAGCATGTGCTTATTTAAAAATGAAGACACAATTCCACATGTCCCAGAGTGATGGGCTTTCTGTAGAAATGTTTTTCACATACATGGGCATAAGACAATCTGTGATCACTAACTTGCATTAACCCCTTAAGGACCAAACTTCTGGAATAAAAGGGAATTATGACATGTCACACATGTCATGTGTCCTTAAGGGGTTAAAACAGGCTGTGTCTTTACTAAATGGGTCACCAAACAAGCATATGGTTATTCACTTTCATTTACCTAGGAAAACACTTTCTATGATACGGGCATCATCATTGCCCCATGATGCCAGGGCAGGTTCATGCACACTCAAGACATTTACAGCAGATGTGCCCAAAAGGTAGATCCCCAGATGTTTTAATGATGCGTTGTAATTGAAAAGGCATTCTAAAGGCATGCAAACCATCACGTTGTATTTCTACAACATCTGGGGAACTTCCTTTTGGGTACCCCGGATATACATAGAAGTGCCATACAGATTTATTTGTGCTTATTGATCCCTTCAATAGTGCAACACATTATTATTATTCTTACTATTTATATAGCGCCAACAAATTCTGCAGCGCTGTACAATGGGTGGACTAACAAGCATGTAATTCTAACCAGACAAGTTTGACGCACAGGAAAAGAGGGGTTGAGGGCCCTGCTCAATGAGCTTACATGCTAGAGGGAGTGGGGTAAAGTGACACAAATGGTTAGGGTAGGAGTAGATTGGTAGAATGGTATTCACTGGAGACTTAGTGTGTTTTTTAATGACAGTTGCAGGAGAGGAATCAATTGGGAGCTGTTAACAATTTAACCCCTTAAGGACACATGACTAATGTGACATGTCATGATTCCCTTTTATTCCTGAAGTTTCTTCTTTAAGGGGTTAATTGTTACGCTTGCGCCGTACCTGTATATACTCCACTACAGAGGGTTACATTAATTCACATGGTATGCTCTGGTTATGCCAGGGCAGCCTGGCATATGTAAAACAGTATTTTAAAAATTATAAACCATTGTGAATAAAATGTAGAAAAACACACCCTTATATGCTATGATATAGCTCTGAAATAATCACACACAGAGATATTCACTTAAGGGAAAATTCAAAGTGCATTTCAAAATAGCCAAACTCGAAAAAGTTTGCTAAGACAAGTATTCTTTCAACTTGGCTACGTTAAATTTGAATTCAAAGTTTAGTAAATAACCCTGTCAGTAAACATTTGAAAGTTGTGATTTACACAGCGCAGTTTTGAGGGACATTTTTTTTTAAAGCTGTCAAAGTATTTTAAGGAAGCTTCCCTGCTTCCAGGTGATTAAATCACTTGCTGGTAGACTGTAACTGTGATTATTACAGAGTGGGGAGGGATAACCCTGTGTCATTATATAGGTCTAGCAGTACATTTTCGTGAATATCTATAATTTACATTTTTTTTTTTTAAAGAATTCGCACATTTAAAATGCTCAGTGAAGAAATCATCTGGTGCTTTGAGACATAAGTGTTTTATTTTTTGAGATTCAACTGTTTGTCTAAAACTGTATTCTTTTTCCCTTGTCAACTTTCCACAATCCCTGGTTTATTTAATAAACCCCACACATTTTGCCCCTGAGACTGCATGCTGCAGACTGCAACTCTCATCATCCTCAACCACACCCAGGTGAGGAGGGTTTCTGCATGTTTTGCAATGCAAGCCTGGTGTGTGGTGTGAATAGTATCTTAAATCTAGCAGTTCAGTGTAACAAGGATTTTTACACCATATATGGAACATAAAGCAATTTTTTCAATCGTTAGAGAAAATGCAATGATAATATGTGCTCTCAATCCCTATCCTATAGGGACACTATAGGCACCAAATGACGTCGGGACATGATTGCATTAGGACAACTCCGTACGAAAGCACTGAATCAATGCTTTCCTATGGGGTTTTAGCTGACGCTGGATGCCTTCATGCAGAGCGTGAGGTTGCCCAGCGTTCGTTTGCCGACAAAAAGTCGCCTAACGTCCGTGAAACGCTTCTAGTGGCTGTCTGGTAGACAGCCACTAGAGGTTGGGATAACCTTGCAATGCACTAAGTTTGTCAATAACTGCAATAATTATAATTGCAGGGTTAAACTGACAGTGACAGTGCACCCAGACCACTTCAATGACCTGAAGTGGTTTTGATGCCTATAGTGTCCCTTTAAGCTAAAGTTGTTTTGGTGACTATATAGAGTACCTTTAATCCTAGCTGTGGTAACATTATTAACTACAGCAAAGTTCCGGGAAAGATTTAGTCATGATAAATTTGTCCTTGGAGAAATTTCTCTAGCTCACTAGTTCTGTTTTGGGTGTGATGTACTAATTTATGAGATAAAGCTCTCCAGATCTTATCTTATCCTGTGGACTAATTCACTGTATGTACAGTCAGTTTCTGACAATGTATAGTTCTGTAGAATATATCAGAGGAAAACCGATTTATCTTCCTAAAATGAAAGACCACCAAAGGGTTTAGTCATCGACAAGTTTATACACTAAACTCCGAATTGTAGCGAAGTAAAATCAGAATATTAATATTCAGGCTTATCTAGCCTAGCTGGAAAATTTTCAAAGATCAGCTATTTTAGACTAAATTTTAGTTGACTATAATTTGAAGTTTACTGACCAGCTCTGTAATAGTAAGTTGTAGTAAGCTGGACGAGCTCCAGTGTCAGTTTCTCCCCCCCCCCATAGAAAAGCATTGATTCAATGTTTACTATAGGGAGGTCTAATGTGCGTGCGGCTGGTGGGAATTTAAAGCAGCACTGTTACCCAAATATTAAAATGAGTATTTCATTAATATAGGAACTTTATGAAATACTTATTATGACTGTGTTGGAATTTCACTGATATTCCAACCCAGTCAAGAGAAATACAGTCTGTCTGTCAAGACCTATAGCCATCATCAGTGATGGCTGCTGGGTATTGACTGTGTCTATGGAGGATCCCTACGGTGTCGCGGGATTCTCCATAGGACTCAAAGCTATATTCACACGCATGCGCGAGAATACAGCAGTGATGTTGGCTCCTGGTGCTGAACGCCAGGATCTGAAGAGGAGAAGTGCAACCAAGATGGTGGTGTCCGCGGGGGAAAGGTTCAGGCAAGTAATCTTACCCTTATCGCCCCTTGCAGACACTGGACCATCAGCTGCAATGTCATCATCAAGGGACTTCATGAATTCTAGAACGTTTCCCCATGGTGACAGTGCCCCTTTAAGGCGAAAGTATCTAAACTGAATGCATAGCTGACTAAGAGAATTTTTCTAGATCGACTATTCTGACCTTACATTTGAAATCACTTTGAATTCTCACTTTAATAAAAAAACTCTGGCAGATAGCTTGTATACATAGCTGAAGTAATATGTAGTATGGAACTTTGTATGGAACTTTAACATTAAGAAATATTATATAGAATTTGATGCATGCCAAAAAAACATATTGACAGGTTTGTTATGAGATCCCTCCCCCCCCACCCATACTACTAAAATAACAGTTATCATCAATCGCAAAAACGAATGCCCCTCTAGACCAATTGACTTGTAACCTGTGGGAGTTTTGCCATTCTCTAGTTTCATTAGTCCTCTTATCACCAATTCTCTGCCAGCGGGATTCCACAAATTTGGAGATTTTTGAAGATTTTAAATATAGAAGAGTGGAGCAAAGTTCTAAAAGCAGGAATCCACAGAGACACCCCACTGGTTTTAAGTACAATTTTGCTGTGTTTATCTGTTTGCAAAAAGAAGCGCAAAACCACCGTAAAGGAAAGTGACAAACCCAGACCGAAGAGTAAGAATCCAGATTTTAAACTGTTGTTTTCCCAGATTACTTTAAAATCCCATATAATTGATGAACTAAGTGCAGGTGCGACTGGCTATAGATGTAATTGCTGCTCAGCACAGCTGGAACTTCCTACACAGAATAATGCTTTCAGCGGAACCATTCCAGACACATGGCTCGATACAAAAACATGTTGAGTCACAAAATCCTTTTAAGCGCTTAATCCGTATGTGGCATGTATTTCAGTGGATTCCTCCTGTTTATGTAGGTGGGGGACACGGTATCTGATATTACAATATTACGTTAGTGAGTGACCGAAGGTAGGAATGTGGATGTTAACCCTCTGATGGCGGGAACAATGTGCGATACATAGTTTTATACAGGAAATGGTGACGCAAATAGTTAAATCAGCTTCGTTCTCTACACCTGATCTCACATCACAAGCTATATAAAAGCCATCTCCGTAAGGACACATTGAAACACTTGCATGTTTATCAAACACTGAGTTGCAGAGTTAATTGTCCTGTTGGTGTGTTGAATGAAAATCTGTCCTATCTTAATTACATAGTTACATAGCAGTCTAGGTTGAAAAAAGACTATCAAAGTCCATCAAGCTCAACCTTGAAACCCATTGTTTTCTGCACTTGTAATTATCACGTAGATTTACTAGAGTGAACCTGGATTCAACGGGATTCATTGCAAGGTTTGGTGTTCAGTCTGTGAAGGTGTGTTGGGTTTGTTGCTCAGTCTGTAGAAAGCTGTAGTAGTCTTTTTACAGCAACCTGCAGGTTTTTATGTTTCACAGAGAGATGCCGAATTCTTTGTGTGAATCTGCACAGTATGTGGAGTGTTTAATTTTTTAAAATTATTCTGTGGAGTTTCCTCTGAAAGAGGACTCGCCTTGATGGCATTCACCTAGAAGACTGTGTATTTTTCGAGTTCTTGATTTTTATCCAATTTTAGGTCCTTCAGGCACCTTAATGACTTTATCTCAATGAAGTCATTATGGTGTCTGGAGGTTCTGTGCAGCGTCCAAGGCTTTCCAGACGTCCATCTGATTGAAGCCTATATTTCTACTGTGATGTTTATGACTTCACTCACTAACAGTCAAGCAGACATACAGTTAGCTATATATAGACTACCAGCCCTCATTGTCACTATGCCTTATGGAATCTTAACTACCCGTTATACTCAGACCTTTGTTTTGCCTTGATGCCTTGTTATAAAATACCAACTTATATAGATTACTTTAAATTTAAACTCAATAATAAAATATGTAATATAATTAGAGGGACACTGTAGGCACCCAGACCCAGAAGTTATCTGGGTGCATGTTCCCAGGTCCCTTAACTCAACAAAGAAAATGATTAGTTATTAATTAATTGCAATAATTATCTTTATTGATTAACACCACCTCTAGTGGAACACTTTGTTTTCCTGGCACTATAGTTTCCCTTTAACAGTTGTGAAAAAAATATGCATTGACTAAAATCTGCAGAAATATTTTTTAAGACCTAAAAATGTACCTTTCAGTAGCTGCAGAACTCTACAACTAATTGAAATCCATCCATGTGATTGGTTTAGGAAAAATTAATAGATAAATCCACCCATTTGCTCCTCACATACTCCCTTGTTATTACTGGGCATTGTCCATTAATGTGCATTAAGCACATATATCTAGTCCAAAGATTCTTTCCTGAGGTTTCAAAATTTGCATTTAAAAAAAACTCCTTTCTTTGAAATTCAATATAGACCCCCATTTAGTATTATCAGACTAAAGAATATATTACCAGTGAGGCAGCTAAAGAGTAGCTAAAGATAGCCAAATCCCATAAGATAAAGGAAGGAGAGGCACGGATGAGGATATTTCACTCTAGGAAAGTTTTTGCAAAAAATGCAAATGAGATTGCCACTTTGAGTTTTCTATGTGAGAATGTACAACTCTGTACACCTGTTAAATTGCAGATACATATACATACAATTATAGAAAGGGAATATTTAAAGGTGCAGAAGATCCTGACCAAATAAACTTGCAGTCTATGAAATTTGAGGTAGGGAGATAAATATGTTGTCTTGGCCAAGGTCACTCATTAGTGAAGTGGTCTGACCAGGATCTGAGTATGGGGTTCCCAGTTCTTAGACAGTTATGTTACCACTGGTCTATCCAACCAACTGAGATCCATAAACAGAGTTTCTATGAACAGTAAACAAACTGAGATTCTCTGCCACCTCTCCCCACCCCTCTGCCTGCACTAAAATCTCTTAAATTTGACATTGCTGGGTTTGAAAAAGGTCAAACGATTGAACATATCTATCCAAATGCTAGGTGACATCTGTAGAGATTGTTATTTTCTTGCAATGGTTGTTTTCACTTTACTAAGAATGACATAAAGGATGAGTATTTCAACAACAAAAGGGCACGAGATAAGGTAAAAAGGAAAGACTCCGAAATATGTCTTGATTAGTGATGTCCCGAACGGTTCGCCACGAACGGTTCGCCACGGACTCATCATTGAGTAAACTTTGACCCTGTACCTCACAGTGAGCAGACACATTCCAGCCAATCAGCAGCAGACCCTCCCTCCCAGACCCTCCCACCTCCTGGACAGCTCACTAAGAATGCAGCTTCAAAATAGATGCTGTCCAGGAGGTGGGAGGGTCTGGGAGGGAGGGTCTGCCGCTGATTGGCTGGAATGTGTCTGCTGACTGTGAGGTACAGGGTCAAAGTTTACTCAATGATGAGTCCGTGGCAAACCGTTCGCGAACCGTTCGGCGAACCATCCGGGACATCACTAGTCTTGATGATCGATTGTGGAAACAAGAGTTACGATCTGAAAGTATACAACAGCAACACTGCAAGTGTAATATAATACACACTATTGATGTGGCATTTTGGTTTAGATGATTCCATCCATGTGATTGGTTTGGGAAAAATTAATAGATAAACAAAAATGGAGAGAAAACGGGCTAATCAATGTAAATATATTATGTATATATTTTACTGTACACTGATAAACTCAATTTCATGCCAAAATTTAGTCTGATACGGTAACAAATGCAGAGCTTCTCATACTGTGGTGTGGTGACTTCCTGTACCCTTTATCTGGGACTTAAATGATAAATGTTGCGGTTTTAGTGGGCATGGGGGAAAGAACCTATGAGCACAGGTTTATGTCATGCCATTTTAGAAGAGTTTGACTAAAGGAAGAATACCCTGGCCTCTCTGATGTGTCTTGGCTAATGTGGATGGGGAAAGTCTACATTTACCCGTCCTTCTTTAGCCAGCAATAATAGCTTTAGAATGCTGGGCTAAAACAGCTCAGAGACTCACAGGCAATTATTGTCACCTAAAGTTAAATTACTTTGGACAATTAATGGGAATGTTAAACGAACTGTCCCGGCACGATAGCCACTACAGCTCTCTGTAGAGGTTATGGCTGTCACAGGAGTCGTACCCCAACAATCAGGAAGAGTGGAAACTCTCAAAAGGTGGATACGAAAGACGTTTTACCGAGCCTTAGAGTGGCTGGACTTAACGTATTAATATAGAGAAACAAGATCAAGGTAAGCCAGGTCAGGATACCAGAAATCACTAGTCAAATAATAAGCCGGGTCAGGATACAAGAAATCACAAGTCAAATAATAAGCTGGGTCAGGATACTAGAAATCACAAGTCAAATAATAAGCCGGGTCAGGATACCAGAAATCACAAGTCAAATAATAAGCCAGCTCAGGATACTAGAAATCACAAGTCAAATAATAAGCCAGCTCAGGATACTAGAAATCACAAGTCAAATAATAACCTGGGTCAGGATACCAGAAATCACAAGTCAAATAATAAGCCGGCTCAGGATACCAGAAATCACAAGTCAAATAATAAGCCGGGTCAGGATACCAGAAATCACAAGTCAAATAAGCCAGCGCAGGATACTAGAAAACAAAAGTCAAATACTAGTCAAAGTCAAAGTCAATAACAGGAATATAGCAAAAGAGACTTATTACAGCACTAACATGTATCATGACAGATACAACAATAGGGCATGAGTAAGGGCTAGAACAGGCTTTAAACAGGTTCAAGAAGAGTTCCCACTGGTCCACATCATCTCTGCAACCCCAAACAGCATGGGGTCGCCTAGATGATGTGGTCCCTTTAGGGCATGAGGTCATGGCCATAATTTATTTTATTAGGAGCTGCAGTTCATGCCACGAACCAGCAAAGGAAGCCATTTGTGGGACCAAAGGTAAGTATACTACTATTCAGGCTTTTTGGCCACGTAGGGAGTTCTGGCCACGCGGCCTGAGGACTGCAGTAATGCGGCCACATGGTGCGTTCTGACCGAGGAGAGGTAAGTTTGTGACAATGGCACCAGGAGTGCCTTGACACCCCTCTCAGCATAAGTAATCAAACTGTTTTTGAACAGTTTGACTTCTTACCTGGATTCTACCGGGCACCACTCAACTACCATCTTCAGAGAGTCGTAAGCAAGAACTTCTATTAGGAAAGTCCAAGCACAATACCCTTGCTACTCGCTCAGGCTCGTATCCTTTGACCTTAATCATTCCTAAATGATGCAAATCATGACTTTGGCACTTTTTTTAGTCATTTGATTGGGCATCAATTCTATGCACTGTTCAGTATGAATTGACACAGGTTATGATGTCAGGCATATCAAAACTTCTACCTGCTTGGGACTCTTCTAGTGGTTTCTTAACATATTTTCAGTCCTTGTTGGTTTTCTGGTTTTGACCCAGCTCATCTTGTTCCTGATTTGTCATTTCGCTGACCCAGATAAAGGTTTGTCCTGTCTAGGATTACACTAGTTTTAGGTTATCAGTACTGAGATTTCCTATAACTAAGTGTTAAGCCTGACTCTAAGGCCCGGTAATACTTTGCCTTTGATAGGCTGCTGACCTATATCTCGCTCAGGATTCTCTCCAGGTTTGTGTTGATCCACGTTTTGCTTATTTCCACAAGGTTGACAGAACTGATTCCTCTTAGACTTTAGAACATAATCAAAATATGGGGGTCACAATGTTGCTAATTTGTGAAAGAACAAATCTATCCCATGTGCAAATTGGGGCAGATTTGTTCTTCCACAAATAAATAAATAATACAATCGTGATACCTATAACAATATCTTCTTTAATGTGTCGAATTAACAAAACTACTCTTACCTGAAATCTGGCTGATATACATTATTATTGTCATATTTTTAGAGCGCCGTCAAATTCCGCATCGCTTTACAATGGGTGGACAAACAGACATGTAGTTGTAACCAGACAAGTTGGACACACAGGAACAGAGGGGTTGAGGGCCCTGCTCAATGAGCTTACATGCTAGAGGCAGTAGGGTAAAATGACACAAAAAGGTAAGGATAGTATTAGACTAGTGACAGTTGTAGAAGAGGAATCAGTCAGGAGCTATTAACAGTTTAATGGATACGCTTTTATGAAGAAGTGGGTTTTTAACGATTTTTTGAAGGAGTGGAGACTGGGTGAGCATCTAACAGAGGAGGGAAGAGAGTTCCACAACGACGGTGCAGCCCTCGAGAAATCTTGAAGGCGAGCATCAGAGGTGGGAGTACGGACAGAAGATAGACGTAAGTCTTCAGCAGATCGTAAGAGCATAGACGGGACATACTTGTGTATAAGGGAGGATAGATAGGTGGGAGCAGCATTATGTAGAGATTTGAAAGCAAGATGAAGTCCCAGTTATTACATACACTGGCTAATGTACAATGCATTAATTCTCAAAATCATACTTTATCTCATTTTGTGTCTAAACATCTAGTCTTACCAAACATACTATGAAGGCAGAAACATGCTTTTATGATGTTCTTTATCCTGATTATGACCAATGTGATAGGATGTCAATTTTTTTATTTTACTATTTCGCCTAATATTATGTTTTACAAATTTTTAATGCCATACAGTTATATACATATATGTTGTTTCGTTGCTGATATCTCTTTTTGTCCCAACAGGTGATAATGCTAAAAATGATTTCCAATCACACATCGATTGAACGTTGCGGAATGTCCATGCAGGGTTCGGAGACACAGAAAGACTGCAGTTTTTTCTTGACTGCGATAAGGCTGGCATCGCTAAACCAAATACTCGACCCTTGGGTCTACCTGTTGCTTAGACAAATTCTCCTCCGGAAGTTTCGTCAGGTTGCAAGTGCTGTCTCAAATTGCTCTAACGACAGAATGAAAGAAACTCCGATGATCTTAACAACAGAAGTAAAGCCGGATGGGTGACCTTAACACGTGGATTTACATTTGACAAAGCTTCAAAAATGAACTATTACTTACATTGACAGCATGCAGTATTCAATAAAAGCTTTTTGTTTCTCTGTGTGAAACCTAATTAAATCAGAAAAATTGATAACTACATTCTTCTCCCAGGAAAACATTTTAACAAATAAGTATTAAAGAAAACTATAATGTAGATATTTAATTTCAAATAGATATTCTAAGCAACATAGCCATTACAGATTACTGTGGTAGTTATGACTCTGGTTCTTTGGGTGCAATCCTCTCATTTTCTGTCAAAATCTTTTTTGCCGGTCTGTTTCTGTCTATGCCTGTGCGTGTCTTTGTCTATGTTTATGTCTGCCTGTGTATACGTGTTTGTATCTGTCTGTGTTTATGTGTGTGTTCCTGTCTGTGTCTTTGTCTGTGTTTGTTGACCAATTATTATTATTTTTGGGCTCACGTTTTGGGTGTTTCCTCACCCTAGCAATGACCCTGCTTCAAACTCCTATAAAACAGTTTGACAGGAAATGGAAAGGACAGTACCCAAGAACTCTTGCACCATAATCACTGCATTACGTTTAGTGGTTTAGTGCTTTTAGCATCCCTTTAACCTGCATATTTGTAATTTAAATACCTGTTTACTGGAAGAGAAATTTTTATTATATCATGCCTTCTGATTTAATTAATGATGACATTTCTGGTCTAACAATGGTTAACAAAAGTGCATATGCTCAGGTCTGAATGAAGCCAAATAGTTTGAAGTCGCCAAGTCCTGGGACGGTCAGATAACGGGCAAATATTGTAGTTAGATTCCTATGCCAGGGAGCATATATATATATATATATATAAAAGGCCCTGGTGTTCTACCTTGCTGGGTAGCAGAGCTGATGTCCGCTTGGGTATTTCCCAGGTCTAGTAGTAGGCTCTTCTTTTCACTGACCTAGAGCCCATGCCTCCACAGATGGGTCTGTTGCATTTCTGCCAGCCTGGTTGCGAAATGAGGCTAAGCATGATGGCTATAGTGAAAGTCGAAGGCCTCATCAAAGTCACTAGTGTTCTCATGCTTACTTATATAGGGGACTATTAACAGAATTCTGGAGAACTAGCAAAAGAATTTACAAACAAACAAACAAGGACAAAAAGTCAAGCTGGTAAAACAAAAACAATTTTTTTTTTAAAATTTAACAATTTTGACTCAAAATGTACAATTATCTCATAATTTCTCCCCAGCTCGCAGTTTAGTGAATAAAACCCAAGGGTCCTTGGATGTCATAGTTTGCATTCAGAAGGAACAACAATACCTCCCTCTAGCCTACTAACAGCGTTACTGGGCAAGCTCCACTAGCATTTAAAGTATACCCCTTTGCTGCTTGCATGCTCAAACAATGGAGGTTGAACTCTGCAAATACTTAATGTGAAAGAGCCCTGGAGGCTCGCATTTCAGCTATAAAATTACTGTATAAAATGCTGCTAACTGGATAATGAGATTTATCCTCTGTGCCAAACGTCTATCTTTTATAAGTGTATGTGCACAAATGTGCATATACTTATGTACATATATATATATATTTGAGAAAAGAGCTATTGATTACATATACAGTAAAGTCTGTACACTACAGAGAAGATTGTTTAAAGGAATATTATACTTATGATTTAGATCATTGATTTTTTTGACAGCATGTTGCACTGGCACCAAATTCCAATCATCAATAAAAATGCAAAATGTAGCATAATGAATGACTGTACTGCATGGCAACACTTGTACAATCAGTGTATGGAGTAAAATCAAAGCAGATTGTCAAACTGGAATGCAAAACATTTGCCATTGATTAAAGTTTTATGGAATGGTTCTAGCAGTTTATTAACTGAGTGATTTTGTCATTATATTGTTCAGTGTATTTATTAATCAGATATGCAGCATAGGAGGTCATATTGGGATTTAGCTTGGATTTCGTCTATTTCCCATAACATGTTGTGTTATTTAAACATGGATTTAACAATACACTAAAGAACAGAGAGAGATCAGGACATGTCTGTTTTCAGGAGTGTAATTCACTTTTCAACTTGAGATTTTTTTCAAATTTATAGTAATACACTGAAAAGAAAATACATATTAATTAAAGGGTGATTTGGATATACATTTACTAATCCTAATGCAAATGTAAAGACCTGAGCGTATACAAAATACACAAAAAGATAACAGTGCACATAAAATGTTGTTTCAAATCTTCCAAGCCTACTTTACTATAACCCCTAATCTAAAGTTAAAATGTGAAATTTGAGGATACGGTAACACCCAAATGGACATCGGACCACTACACCAAATAATTCAAATGTTGGCACTGGTAGATGCATTACTTACATCTTAACTCCAAAACCAAAGGGTGAAGACCTCGCATAACATTCTATCAAACATATAGAAACCTGATGTTATGTATTTCAGCTTTAAAAATTACATTTCATAAGAAGTATCATATATATTCCTCATCATTGGGATTCTCGAAGTGTAAAAAGTCCTGGCAATAAAGTAATCAATCGATGAAACTATTTTTGGTATCTAGGGAGCTAATTTGGCCTTAACACTTCATGAAGCAGTAATTGGTATCCTTGATACTGCACCTGCACATGGACTACATTCTCGATCCTGCAGAGTATCATGGGAAATTTAGTTAGCAGTCATCTTGGGTATCATTCTTTGCCCTCACTGACACACATCCTGCAATTGCTACAGGTGTAGCTGTAAATTAAAATATTACCAGTTCCTACTAAGTACAAATCTTTTTTTTTAACATAATTTTAATTGTTTCATAAAACCCTTCAATATTAATGTTGTGCGTTATAATTAAAGATTTAAAAATGCACACACAAGCAATGCCTGAAAATGGTTTATTGTCAACTTTTGAATGAAAAAACAGGTGGTGGGGGCAAAAAAAACTTTGTTTATAGAGAAATTTGCCTTCATTAACAGAGATGCTGTCAAAGGATTTTTAAATTAAACTCTCATATTTGTAAGGTGTTAATCCTTTAAGCTATTCTGTGTTAATATTTTATAAGACACACAGGTTCTATTGGACATTGCTGAATACAGCTTAGATCAACTTTGTCTAAGAGAACATAACTCACAGACCAGGAAACATTTAACTAGAACAACTGCCTCATCATTTATTTACCCAAAATATTTAATTGTGTCTATAAAGAATGTAATTACCAGGTGCTTGTTTACCAACGTCCAAAACAATGAGATCCAGGTGCCGGTTACATTCATCCTGCATCGATAAAATCTATTTCTTATTTATAAACATAATATTTCATTTACAATTCTCCATGTATTGATTTTTTTTTAATAGTTCTTTAGCAGACGTCTCCACCTTTTCAAGTCTGTACCTGCATTTAAATATCTTGGCTACATTCTTCATTGAGAAACTCAGAGATATAAAGATAGTGATATATAAATTTTTCGGCTGGGTAAAGGAACACAATACTCAAGGCCATGGCATGACAATAGTGTAACCAAGTGAATTCTGTTATCTTATTTCTTGATACATCTTACTGTTTAAATAGGACTTTTCACCATAACTACTGTGTGTTTCTTGTGTGTTTCATGGTAAACAGGCATTTGATTAAATAATGGTTCCGTCACTTAGTGCTCCTGATACATGGATAAAGAGAGTTATTCATGGAACAGTAAGTATTATCCAAAATTAACAGTTTTCTTGACAACCTGGCTATTTCAACCTAAAATTCGCAACTTGATTGTCAACCATAGGCGTGCGCAGCCTATTGCATTAGGGTGTGCACCCTAAAGCACAAACACACGCCGCGCGTGTGTGTGTGTGTGTGTATATATATATATATATATATACATATATATATATACGTATATATATATTCACAGACACACACACTCACAGACACACACTCACACTCACAGAAACACACACACACTCACAGACACACACACTCACACACACTGACACACACATACTCACACACTCACAGACACACACACACACACTCACTGACACACACACTCACAGACACATACTCACACACTCACAGACACACACTGACACACACTCACAGACACACACTGACACACACTCACAGACACATACTCACACACTCACAGACACACACACTGACACATACTCACACACTCACTGACACACACACTCACAGACACATACTCACACACTTACAGACACACACTGACACATACTCACACACTCACAGACACACACTCACACACACTGACACACACATACTCACACACTCTCAGACACATACTCACACACTCACACACTCACTGACACACACACTCACAGACACATACTCACACACTCACACACACACACTGACACATACTCACACACTCATAGACACATACTCACACACTCACAGACACATACTCACACACTCACAGACACACACTGACACACACACACTCACACACTGACAGACACACACTCACACACACTGACACACACATACTCACACACAGACACACACACTCACACTCACAGACACAGACACACACATACTCACACACTCCACAGACACACACAGACACACACTCACACACACACACACACACAGACACACACTGACACACACACACACACTCACTGACACACACACACTCACAGACACATACTCACACACTTGACACACACTCACAGACACACACTGACACACACACAGACACACACTGACACACACTCACACACTACCACACACAGACACACACACACATACTCACACACTCACACACACACACTCACAGACACACTCACACACACAGACACACACTGACACACACTCACAGACACACACACTGACACACACACACACTCACTGACACACACACACACACACACACTGACACACTGACACATACACATCACACACTCACAGACACACACAAATAATTATATTTTAATTTTTTTTTTTTTAATGTCCACCCAGCCTCCTACCTGGAGTGCTGGTGGACTTGTCCCTGGGGTCCAGTGGGGGCGGGCGCCTCTCTGCAGCTCAGCGCGCGGCGAGGGAGCTCTCTGCTCTCTGTTCTCTGCTTCCTCTCGCCGCGCGGGCTGTCTGCTCGAGCTGGGAGCCGGAATATGACGTCATATTCCGGCTCCCGGCATCAGCGCGCGGCGAGAGGAAGCAGAGAGCAGAGAGCAGAGAGCTCCCTCGCCGCGGCTGAGCTGCAGGGTGGGGGGGGGGGAATCATCACCTCTTGCCCTCCCATGACAGGGGCAAGAGGTGAAACAGGGGGCACTGAGTGCCTGCAGGAACAGCGTTCCTGCTCAAAAGAGTGCAGGAACGCTGTTCCTGCAGGACTCAAACCATAGGGGTGCGCACGGGGATTAGGGTGTGCCCAGGCACACCCGGCACACCCCGTGCGCACGCCTATGTTGTCAACACGCCACAACTCGCCATTCAGAGATACTAAATATACCCTTTAGTTGTTTTTTGTAGTATACACAGCTATACAATTATTGAGTGTTCTGTCTGGGGAAAAGGATCCAGAAGCACCCTTATAATGTATGCATGTTCAGGTGAGTGCAGCCCAATTGCATCTAATATATTTGGGAGTCCAGGCCAACTCCCTTGGTGTGCACCTCCCTCTGTCACAGGTGCCTCAATCCAGGGTCCTATTTAAGCTTGCACTACAGCAAGTCCCAGGAGGAAGGATTTCCCAAGTAAGTGGATTAATCTCGTAAGGACAGGCATTAGGTTGCTAGGATAAGCTAGGATAGGACCTGCCAAGAATGGGGTACATTGGTGTTGTGACAGGCTTATGCAATCTGTAACTAAACTCACATTATTTTGTCTGTCGGTTGTTTTTTTAAAGCAATTGCATTTTTCGAGCTTTTTAAATTGCTGTTTAATGAATGAGTGAGTGTGATAATCTGACTAGTTGATAGCGTGTTTTATTCACGTCGTTTATTTTCTCATATGCAATAACTGAACATGTGTCCTATCGCATTGTTTCAGCAAATACCATCTAGTATAGAAAAGCTTTTTGTCACCACTGACATACCTATAATGCTTGTTCTACTATCCTATACGTAACCTAACAAAAATATATTGTGACGTTATTGCCTGCCATGACACTGTTTATCCTGTTTTTTTTCTCACTAGCTTGTACCTGCTGTTGTGGCAATACAAGCATGTCTAACTCTAAGCACAGCAAAAAAAAAGATTTTTTTTTTTTAAAGGTGAGTGTGTCAGATCTTGTATGTTGTATTAATTGGCCCCAGCAGCACCCTATAATGCATGCATGTTTAGGTGAATGCAACTTTTTGTTCCATCAAAAAAATCACCGGAAAATCAAAATGAGAAACGTGGGTGTGTGGGGGACTTATTATCTGTGTAATGAACCTGAATAGACCCAAGCATTGTCATTGTCTTAATTAGATTCTTACATTCTGAAATCCTGTTCAAAGTGAATTTAAAATTTTAGACAAAAATAACCAATTTGGAAAAATGCTAAATGTCAGATATGTTTTCTTTTGCGACTATTTTGACCTAAAATTTGAAATTCACTTTGTATTACTGGAAATTTGCAGTTTATTAACCAAAATGTCATGCGATTTGGAATGTTTAGTTCACTAAAAAGTGAACTGTAAATAGATCTGAATCATAACATTGTATAGTTGGAGGGTGTAATCAAATTCTTTATACTAGCCATGTTCTGGATTTAGCGTGCCAGGTCACAGCAATACTTATTACTTGTAACATTCCATTCTATTCCTCCGTGTTTCACTATGACTAGAGGAAATACTAACATATTTAGTAGACTTGGGATACAAGGTTACAGGTAGCCTGCTTATATAAGTGTTTAGTTAATTAAAGGGT